TTCATGGTAATATTTCATTTAATCTTATCATGCAACTAATATGATTAGTAAAAGATTCAACATGTCTGACGGATGAATATAGGTAGTGAAAAAGGCAAAATCAATAGGTTTTTTAGGTTGATAGTCAAAGATAATCTGAAATAGACTGAAACCAGTTGAGTGAATGATAACTCTATTAAATGCGAACTTGACTATGTATAGTACCATATCCTAATTAGTTATGTGATCCCTTACCAAACATTGATGCAGGTTACCTAATGACCTATTGACCATTTACCATAAGTCTAAGGATTATATATTGAGGAATACCAAACTTTAGTCTATAATAATTTTTATAGGAGCTTCTAAAAATAGTTGACAAAGCGTACATCACTATTAGATTCAATGAAATTAGGAAGACCGTGCAATCTAATAACCTTTTTAAAGAATAGCTTAGTTGAGAGACATCAAATGTTTTAGAGTAAGAGATAAAGTATATTATCTTTGAAAATTGATCAATAATAACAAAGATGGAATCGTGCCTAGTAATAATACGAGGGAAAGAGTTCTGACAAGTAGTGGACTAATATGTCCATAATCGATGAGTCGAGTGCATAATAATTCATTAAGTCAGAAGGAGTTCTGATATATATGACCCACAACTAGCTCGATATTGGGCCCAGAGAATCACACACATATGATAGATATTGTAACGAGTAGAGATTCAAATATAAAATATTCGTTGAAGCCCCTATCTTATTGGACTTATAATAAGCTCATGAATTATTATATCTTGTGGATAATATCTAATAAAAGATTATTAGGTAGAGATCCAATAATCTAAGAGACTTAGGTAATTGGATATAGATCCAATATCTAATGTGGCAGAATCTATTAGGGTTAAGTAGTATAAACCTCTATAAATAGGAGGGGCCAAAAGGTGGCATAGGCTAGTCACCTTTTAGCTGTCCCTCCTATTCTCCTCTCTCTCCTTTCCTCCTCAACCGACAATCCCAATTGAGGGCGTGTGGATAGCAGAAGGGTCGGCCATAGAGAGGAAGATCGTGCAGCAATTTGAGGAACATCTTCATCGCATCTACTATGTGGATTACCGCTAGAGAGGATGACAGTTGACATCCTTCATCCACTCCTATAAATTTGAGATTTTTCAGGGATATACGATCTCTCTAGGTAACAAATCTCCTTCAATATGCATGGTTTTCGGTTTTGCATTTTGTTTTGCACACCAATCTTCGCACGATGACGAAATTTTTTTTAGAAAATATGTGATTTTTGTTTTATATTCTTTCGCTATGCATGTGATGCTCTGATCAAAATTTCCAATAGAATTAAGTCAATAGTATATTGAATATCATACACTAGATGTTAGAAAATATTTAAAAGATTTTTTGGACATAAGGGAGTAACTTGGTCTGAAATTTAAAGAGAGTTTATATAGCTACTAAAATAAAAGCAATTGCTAAGTCTTTTTGGCTCGGTAATAAAAGAGCCAGACTTTAAAATATACAAAGACTATGATGAGGTGCAGCTATTGAAACTATTCTCGTAGAGGTGCTAACTCTAATCTCGTTATGGGGTGCGGGGACCAAGTTGATTTTCTTCCCATCATGCTCAAAGTAATCGATATTGACTTTGTTATAATGTGACATTCATGTAGTAGTGGAAAGATATACAAGTAACACATGAGAAATATCTATCAGAAGCACATCACATCAAATTTGATCATTATATAAGCTAAATTGGTGAAAAGTAAACATCTCTAGATAATTGGTATGTTAGTTTTTTCTACCCAAGCTACATTATAAAGTGGTATACGTGGTTCAGGTTTGAATCTAAATTTAACTATGATAGTCTATGATACTACATTAAAGTTGCTTCCCCATTATGATTATTACACTTAGTGTATGTGTAAGAAATGCTAGTGTAATGCCAATTTTTAGAACTCTTAGGAAGAGCTAAGACATAATACACAACCACAATAATATGCTAGGTGGTATCATGTGGTCTGTTGTCATCACTTATGTGTTCTTTAGTAGGATCATGCTCATCATAATTATTACTTTGGACATTATAATCTTGTTTTATATAGTAATATATGGGTTCATTGTTTTCTAGGTATAAGGTTCTCTGTGGATACTCTTGAGCATAGTGGACATACTTATGATATTTGAAATACTGTAATCTATCTCGGGTGTTTTCAGTAATAACAACCTTGTCTTTGTTATCTTGCTTGGGTGGAGTGACACTTGATCATATAGGAGTACTTGTATAAGTGTGTGCATAAGAGTTTCTTAGTCTTTGGGTCATATTGTTATGATATTGTTCAGCTTCAAGAGCCCCTTTGAAAGATAATCTCTAGAGAGTCTAGGTCAAAGGGGGATGTTTCATATTGAATGTACTATCATAGATTGGTAAGAAAATTTGCTATCATAGGAGTAGGTTCTTCATAAATGTTACAACGGATCATGAGCTCATCAAAACAAGTCATGCAATAAAAAATTATGGAGACTTGGCATGTGATACTTAATTGCTTCATAATTTGATTCATAGAATAGGAAGACATTTTTCTCTGAGCATAAACTTCATTTCATCCCATCGATCTATGAGAACCATGCCAAGTTCTCCAAGTATGGTCAAGCCGAACCAGTTAACATCATGTGAGCAAACCTAATTAGTTATATGATTCTTCTACATTAAGCACTAATTAAAATGGTGGTCTATAGCCACTAACTAGTCTAAGAATATTAGAGGATTGAGATTTCCTTCAAAGTAAGGTGAACTAAACTTAAACGTATAAGTAATATTACCCTTATCATCTTAGTACCTAGATCTATATGCATTTTGTGGGTGTCTTAAATCGATTTGTTCAGAATCTCAATTGATATCATCACGAGGTGATGTAGCATATTTCCTAAGTGTCTAGGCTGTAGTGGATTTTCTATGGGCCTGAAAGTTATGTTATCATCGAGATCAACCCTTCACCTAGGTGACAACCAAGTGGCTTCAAGAGTCATCAAGTATTTTTTGAAACTTTGACAATGTTTCGCACAATGAGTTAGGCAAGCTTCCGTAACCTCAACTTTAATATTGATTTAAGCAAACACTTATGTAATTTGATCTAAATCCATCTCTTGTTGATGGGCTCATTAGGATGGTACGGGTAGTCATATAGGTATAATGTGAGTAATTTAGGTTGTCAAGACAGAACATTAAGATTTTAAGGTGTTTAGGGAGACTAGGGGGGGTATTTTCAGCTAAAATTTTATGGGATAATTCTTGATTGAGAGGGCTACAAGTGAGATAAATTTAAGAGTATTTGAAGAAATCTAGGTATGAAAAATGAATAGAATAATACTAATAACAAAAGATAAAAATTGTTTAAAGTAAATAATGATGCAAGAAAGTAAAATAAGTTGTATAAGTAAAAAATGATTGGACCAATTTGCTTTGATATCAACATGATATAGGATGAGTGGTGAGTAAAATAAATTGTATAATTAGAAGTGATGAAGTCAAAGAGCTTAGGAAAGATAAGTGGTAGCAATGAGGGTAACTCATCTTTCCAATCATGATTTGATTTAACTTTTTGATTAGTTTGATCAATGATTTAATAAATTTAAATAAGAAATACTTGATTAACCATATTCCCTGAATTAATACATCACTTAAATTTTAAGGGCAGAGAACATTTTGTTCAATAGATAATCCTTAACATTTCATGGTTGAAAATGAAGAAAAAGGATGATGTTGAGAAAGAGGATGAGGGAAAGAATACATAAATAGGTTCTTTTACTCTTGAGGATTCTCTCCTCATTTAGATATTTTATCTAAGAGTTAATCTCTTTAATTATTCATCTATTCATTCATTCAATTACTCCAAGACTTATAATATTTTTATAAGAATATATGTCCCCAGTGTCATATACCTCATTTCTAAAAGAAAAGTTGATAAGAATCCATAAGATTAAGATAAGTATTCATCCTTATACGAGTATCACATGCCATATCTTTTTTTAGAGAGGAGTGATGGGTTAAAATTTCTACAATAAGAATAAGTGTTTATCATTATATAAATGTCATATACCCTTTTTTTTTTTAGAAAAAAAGGAGTTAGGAAATCGAAAACACGTGTCTACTCCAAAATTTTTTATCATACATATTTTAAAATATGTGCATGATATCTCTTGACCTTATATAAATTAATTTATAAGTCTAAAATTTTATATATATATATATATATATATATATATATATATATATATATATATATCATGTCCAATTGTACTATAATTTAATAAAAATAAATAAAAATAAATATATGATGAGCTCTTCACGAGCATTTACACCCATATGGTTTTGATCCCACCGTTGCTCCGTAGAAAGACTCGAGCATAAAGTGTTTAAGAAAAAACCCACCATCATAAACTGTTCGAAGAATAAAGCTAATTCCTCCTCTAAGATCACCATCGGAGGACCCATTCGAATTAAATTTAACCTACCAAAAGACAAAAGTTGGCATAAATAATTTGATTAAAAACATATACGAACTAATGGATTACATCTTTCCACTCAAGACTAAAATTTGATTTTTTCTAACGCTTAATATCTATCAAATCACAAATGTACCAAATGGGATCGTATGCATCATCAGATCGTGAAGCATCCATTAACGAGGTCATTATTAGAGCATAATCTAATTATCACAATTCGTGCATATCGCAATTGTTCCAATATATAATCCAATTATGCTATATGTGGGACAAGTTCCCATTACATGTTCAGTCGATGAACAAAATAATGATACCTATAGGTTATGTGTCGTCTTTTATACTTACCGCCTGCACTTGTTTTACCGAGGATAGTAGAGTGTGGCCGGACGGACTCTTAATTGATGTCATGTGCTCAACATAAGGTGACGTGCGACGCGCACATGCGTCTTCTTCCGGTAACATTATTCCCGGTGACCGGGGTGGAGGCACAGCGCAGTCCGACACGCATCCCCAATCAATGCCACGAGACATGTCGCTACCATCATTATTGTGATCACCAACATCATCGGTACAACCATTCACCGTCATTATGAGCTATAACTCTTTACCACCTCCACCGGTCGCATTCACTCTCTCTCAAACCTGACCCGTGGACCCACAACACGTCATTCTCACCGTGGGGCCCACGTAGGGCACGAGATAACTCAGATGTGGTACGCCGTTAGTAACTTCAACGGCCATCGAGGAGTGCGGTTGAGGTAACCGTGACGACCACCGACCAACCTTCTTTTGCGCCCCGCCGAGAGCGCACGGCGGTTGGAGTAACTGCGAGTGACGGCGGCCACCGGCAGGAGACGAGACGGGACGGCAATGGTGGAGTCGGAAGTAAGGTAGAGAGAGAGAGAGAGAGAGGGGTTTCGGTCCTCAGGTTCTAAAGTTGGGCCGGGGGAACCGAGGCGTCGGCACGAAGCCTTCGCGACCGGATCCGATCTGGTTGAGCCGGTCAGGGATGGTGGAGTCGAACAGCCTCGATCCCGGGTTCTCGGCGTAGCAGACGTAGTAGCAGGCGACGCATCCGTGCGGCAGGGCCATGCCGATCCTCGTCTGCTGGGCGAGAAGGAATGAAGCGTCACCGTGGAATGAACCAAGTCGGAGAAAGCAGGGAGGGAGGGAGAGAAAGACCATGAGGTAGCCGACGAAGAAGGCGAGCAGCGACACGGTGGCGGTGTAGTGCTTGTGGGAGGAAAAGGTCCAGGAAGCAGAGAAGATGAGGGAGAGGGCCCCGCTGGTGACCCCCGTCAGGAAGCACACGGCGCTGGTGATGTCCGAGTCCACCACCGCCTCCATCCTCTGCTTCTCGAACAGCCCCCATGTGCTCTGCGACGCCTCCACGAACCCCCTCCCGTATGCCGCTATCTGCAGACATTCCCCACTCCGATCACCATATTTTTGATCCCGAGTATAGTGTTGAAGCAAGAAGGGGAGCGGGCTCGTTTACATGGACGAACGCCCAGCTGTTGCCGTAGCGGAAGATGGACTCCATGACTCGGAGACAGCAGTGCGCGCACGAGAACAAGAACTCGTCCTCGCCCTCCAACAAGTTGAGGCCGCGCGCCATGATGCGGAGCGCCTCGATGGTGGGCACGAAGAGCGAACCTAGGCAGGCGCTGCCGAGGTTTATGGTCGTGGCCCGCTGGAAGCTGAACTGGGTGCTGGACTGCATCCCCCTGAGGTAGTAAAGCGCGATCACTCGGCTCACCGTCAGGTTGGCCACATTGCGCATCACCTCGGCCGTCCATGCGAGGCTCAGCACCAATGCGAGGATGGTCAAGGTGGGATAGTAGAAGTTGAGCGCTCCGATGACCGCGAAGCACCAAGCCGAGATCCACAGGAAGCCTACGCCCAACATGAGGTAGGCCGGACCATTGACGTCCTGGAACTTGGTCACCGGCCTGAGGGCCTGGGCGAAGACCTTCCCGGTGAAGGCGATGCGGCGGGTGACCCAGCACGCGTAGAGACCGGCACCGATCGAGAAGGTCATGAAGGCGACGCCGAGCCCGTCCGTCGCCGGGAGGGAGAAGCAGAGGAGGAGTATGCCAGCGGCCATGGTGGCGAGGAAGCAGGCCCAGAGGATGAAGGGGACCATGACGGAGGGCCATGAACGCACGGCCTTCTGCCATGCGAAGGCGAGGCCGATGCTGAGGACGGAGGCACCCTCGATGGGCGGGAGCCAGAACTTGAGCACCTGTCGCCCGTTCCGAGCCTTCCCCGAGTCGGAATCTAGGAGTCCTTGGATGCCTTTGAACCAGAAGAAGCACACGGCGGCGGCCGCCACCAGCAGGTGGAGGACGAAGAGGAGGAGGGATACTCTGTTAGTGTACTCTCTGGAGTTGAGCGACGCCAATCCGACCTACTTCCACCAGTCACAGCATCAAAAGCTAATCACAGTATATTCCCACTTTCTCTGCCTGCTTTAAGACCGAGAACTCTTACCAGTGGGGTTGGGGTTGGGGTGGGTTGGTAGGCGGCGGCCGGCGGAGTGGCGGCGCCATGGAGCACGACCTGGATGGGGGCAACCGGATGCTGGGTCTGCAGCCGGGAGACCCACGTCTCGCTCCGCGATGAATCGACCACGGCCGCGACTTCTTTCTTCTCATCTCCTCCATCCGGCTTCCCTTCCATGTCCAGCTTCTCTCCCTTTTCTCCTGCCTCCCATTCCATCACTGCCATTGAGCCACAACCCGCACATTCACGAGCATGGACAGACGAAGGATTACCGTCTTTGAGCTTTCTGTTCTTCGCACTTCTCTCTCCTCGTCAGCGCTGACAGAGTTGATCTAAAAATATTTACCACGCCCGTCGAGTCCCACAGAAACCACCGTCGGAGATAGACGTTCGACATGGACAGGGAAGCGTGTGGACTTCGCCGAGCTTACGTACTCCGTGGATGCCTCGTCTTCTAGCCACGAGAGAGAGTGTGTTGTTCCCTTAATTAAGATTGAGATATCACAAGGATAGATAATATATTGGATTTGTAGGACTCTGTGTCTTGAGTTAGGAACTGCACAAGAACTAAAAGGCTTTACAGCATTGATCTCTAACATAGAACTAAGGTGTCTCCTCACCTTCATATTTAGCGGAAGAATCATAGCTGGAAAGGAGATGCGAATTATGAGAGGTTACTGTCAGTAGTCTTTGTAGATCCCATTAATTTATGATTGACGGATGCTTTACCTACTTGCAAACTTATCAACATCGTTTCTTCTTATGAAAGCAAAGAGCAAAAATTCTTCTTTTCTAATAGAAAAGAAATCCTTAAGAAGATTTCAAAATCAACAAAAGATTTATGTAATTTAACAATTCAATATACTTAGTCTTTGCTATACGAAAAAAAATAAAATAAAAGGAATCTCAAATTTTTTATTCATATTGTCCAATAAATTTTAAATATTTTTTTACTCATTATTCTCTGTATATCTTAGGAACGCCTAAGAATCCAAATATATTTTCGACTCTCAATAAAATTTTAAGATATATTTTATATTTTAGAAATAAATTCTAGTTCATAAAGACTTATTTTTTACCTGAATTTCTATTTTTAAGTCAAAAATAAATCTGTTAAGAAATATCCTCATGTTGTCAAAAATAATAGAAAGGTATTCTATCTTATCTAAACAATAGAAAGATAGGTCACTTTTGTTTTCTTTCTTTTTTTAGGAACAACTTTTTTTCTTTCATTTTTATTTTCTAAAAGGTATTTCTCTCAATCATTTTAAAGTCACCCTACTTTCTCATTCCATCTCTGCTTCTCTTGTCTTATACTCATAAATTTGGAGTAAGTTTCCAAAGCATCTCTGTCGAGCATCACATGGTGTATTGACGAAAACATGTTTCACTGTTTTTACCATAAATGGGATCCATAACCACTCACCATAAAGCCATTGTAAGATATCAGATCTAATAAAACTAATATTGATGGAGATATAAGCCTAATTGTGATGCAAAGTTCAAGCAATATAATAACCCATTTATTTATCCTATAAAAAAACTTTTCTCAGTTCATATTAGTTGAGTGAATCTAAAAGTTTGCTTAGAAATAAGGTGTTAGTGTAAACAACTTTTTAGCCGTGGCTTCGGGGTCGTCGCAACTTGGTTCGGCTCCGGATGACGGGTCGTCGTTTCCTTCAGGAAGGGGCTTCTTGCCAGCGCGCCCGGAGAGAGGCGCCTTGTCTTCGTCCCTACACGCAGGTCGGGTCGAGATGCTCGACCCGACCCCTCCGATGATTAAGTTAGTCGGTGGTCGTGGAAGTTTTTTATTTTTTTCTCTTTCCTTTTCTCCTTTCTTCCGTTTAGAATGCAAGGGTATTTATAGGGGAGTTCGGTGTTACCTGACGTGCCTACTCGCAGGGGGTAGGATCGTACCTTCTGATGACGTTTGACATCGTTGTTGGCGTGGCATGCGGAATCGAGCCTGAACGATCGTTAATGGGCCTCGGTTGGCGTTACGACCCATGTCAGCCACGCGCTGTCAGCCCGACAAAGACGCGGGGCGTCAGCGAGCGTCACACAAGTCTTATCGTAATTATCACCCTCATCATAAGAATCTATAAAAGCCAACATAAATAAGCCGACCCTAATATAAATAATATAATATTAACTATTTAGTTATTTATACTTGTATTTCAAGAACTTTGAAGTCCTATTGTAGAAGGGGATTTGGAACCTATTTTAATTTGATAAAATAATATAAATAACTAGTTTGTGACAAACTAAATTACTATAATAGACAAAAAAAATTAAAGAATAATATATATATTTTTTAAATCAAGGATACTATTTGGGAAAAAAAGTAAAATAGGAATACCTATTGAAAACCACAAAATATAGATTTTTTTAAGGTAAACTACTTAATTAATTTTGTTACTAAAAGAAGATTGGACCCAAAAAACAAAAAAAAATTACATTTTTTTTAATATCGTAAAAGAGGTAATGTTCTAAGGGGAAAATAGCTAAAATGTTGGATTTTTCTAAGAAAATTCTTCCAAAGACAATTGCAGCATTGTTTTCCATCGAAGACGCAGATAGCGAAGCGGAGTCACCGGCGTGAACGACTAGCATATGTCAATCAGCGAGAAGACCCATACGGTGGAGATGTTGATGAGTGTCGTCGTCGATGACCTCCTGCCGGTTGCGCTGCACCCACCTCCCGTCATGCGCTCGGGTCATTCCCTTGTTCTCGTCCTGCCTCCAAAGCGGCGGCACCATGTGGTAGTCTTTGAGGAAGTCACATGCCTTGTTCACCAACGCCGTGGTACCTGTTCGCCCCACCTCAAAAGCCATCGGTAGGGCTGCAGCAGATGGCTTTCTCATCTGATTCCAATAATATTATGTTGCACAGGACCAAAGCGGTAGATATTGTCGGCAATAGTCTGTGATTCAGAGTGAACTAGTTCTCGGTGAATGCAGCTGGCCGTCCATGGAGTCGATTTGGAGTCTTGGAGTAGTTTAAGATTTGATTGAAACAGAGAAGAAGAAGAAGAGTCCGGCATGAGTACCCGTCGAGAAGGTGCAGGTGGGCTTCCAGGTTGTGGAAGCAGGAGGGGTCGACGGTGTCCTTGAGGAACGGTGAGTGCTTGTGGTCCAGCGCCAGCTCCACCCCGACGTGGCTGCAGCTCTAGGGGAGCCCCTCCGCCGGCGTCTTCACCAACTCCGGCAGTCGCTCGTTGAACAGTATCCCCGGCACCTTCGGCACCGCAACGTAGCCGATCCAGTTGGCCTTCTCGCACCAGGTCTTGGCGCCCCACCTCCTCCCCCCCCCCGCGAACGGGTGAAGAAGTTGGGCAGGTTGATGTTGGAGGTAGCGTGTCACCTCGTAGCCAACACCTTTCATGCCAAGGCTGGCGAAGAACTCGCGGCGGTTGTACTTGCAGCTGCCACAGAAGCGGGAGAAGGGATCGTAGTCGAAGGCGTCGTAGCAGGCCTGCGCCAACTCACCGTAGCGGACAAGCTCCGAGCGCAGCGGCGGGTCCATGGGGTCCAGCAACCCCGCCCAGTCGTCGTAGCCGTCGATCTCGCGCCACCTCTCCGCGACGCGACCGCCGTTGCCCTCTCCACCTGCCATCTCTTCTTCTTCTTCTTCTTCTTCTTCTTCTTCTTCTTCTTCCTTCTCCAGCTCAAGTTCGGTGATGATCGACGAGAGAGGCTCATCCTTGACTGCTGAAGGGTCATGGCTTTTGGCAGTCCGCTCGGCAGCAAGCAGCACCGGGATCTGCAAGGATCGGGCAGGAAGGACAGGTCGTTTTGGAAGGGGGAGAGGCCGAGTGAGGCCGAGGAAGCACGGCGAAAAGCTCGGATGTGCAATTGCCATCGATTGTGATGGCTAGGATGCGCACCCAAGGTCGATTATAAGGCGGAGGTGGAAAGTGGAGATCAGTAAATATGGGCGGAGGAGGAGGAACGTTTGGTGAGCATATCATCGAACGTTTGGTGAGCATAGATAGCACTGATAACGATAATAACAATAATAATGAATTACTCCCATCTTATATTAGAATTATAATCTGTTTATATCAGTAGATCAACAACAAATATTAGAGATGAATGCAAATCGATAAACAACATCGAACAGAGTATAGTTGTAGACTAAACAAAAGATCCTATGAATCTTATGTTCGTCATGAAGTCGTTATTAGTATATAAATCTTACAGTCGGGCACACGAACGAGATGTTGTTACAGTTTAGATTTCATGTGCTGCAAGCAGCATTTTGGACACAGCAGCAACAAAAATGACGGCGTTCAAATCCTTGCGATGGAAGAAGATATCCTCACCGGTGTACTGAAACCTGAACGTTGCTTCAGGCCGGCCACCAACCCAGTGCTGCTTCTTAGGAGGGAGATCGGCCGGGTCTTGATCGGCGATGCGATTATTCGGTTCACTAACTTGGAAGGTGAGAAGGAGCATCGCCGGGACTTCTTCAACACTACCACCTTCTCCGGGGATGACTTCAGGATTCTCACTGTGACGGCCTTCTTGGGTGCGAACTGCGACTTCAGGGATGTGGAAGATGGTGATTTGATGACGAACTTGTGGGGACTCTGCGACGGCCTCGTCCTCCCAATCACGGGGGATCTGGTCTTGTAGAACCTCCTTTGCCCGTGGCACGACGTGGGCGAGGAGGAGGTGAAGAGAGGGTTGGGGAACAACACCGTCTTCTTGGCCCAGGGTCGGTTTCTGGGTGATACCCGGTGGGCTGCCACCGACGGTCGGCCGCCCACCATCTGCTCCTCCCTCGCAGTAGCCAGCGGCGAATTCGACTTGAATCTGATGCGTGACCTCGCCCTGGAAACGGCCGGGGATTGCTCCGATCGGATGATCCTCAATCGCCCTTGCTTCTCCTTCACCCGCCTTGCTTGCATCTCTGTATTCTCACGTGATGACGACTTGTTTGTTCTGCGGGCAGTGATGGGAGTTGTAGGTTCGGTGGTCTTGTGGCGGCTTCTCATGGCCGCAGCCGCAGCAGCTGTGACCGCCTCCTTCGTGGTTCGGCTGGCCTCAAGGATCTCCACTACGGTTTCTCCCAGCAGCATGGCCGGCAGCGACATCCGCCGCCACTCCCCTGTTCGCAGAAGAGTCCTTGAATCGACGCTGTAGATCACAAATGGCAAAGAAAGAGGAGTCTCAGAAGCATTGAGACGGTACCATTTGTGCTCCCCTGGAACTTCCCCGCCGGCGATCTCCGAGACGAAGCATTATTTCTCATCCTGCAAAAGGAAGTGGCACTCCTTTGCTGTTAAGTGAGGCAGAGAAAATGGAGAAGGAAAAAGACTACAGAGACGACATGGAGCGAACCTTAAGGATTCTTTCTTGCATACCAGACTGGTTCTGAGATATCCTCTCGTGCTGCGAGGGCTGAGAGTGACACCGGCCACCACCTTCGTCCCACCCGTCACCGTGCACTGGAGCTCCTGCAGCCGAGCCATGCACCTCTCCACCTTCGCAAAAGGAAATGTATCTGAGGTTGAGTCCG